AGCCTTCTCTGCCAGAGAGCTCTGGTGCCACAATAAAATACAGTTCCATGATTCCCTAAACCCTAACCCTAACCCTAAAAGTGGACCCAATTTGCACTATTTCTGGCAGTCTGCAACCCCCCTAAGTTTTCTATGTACGTCGAAGAAAGTATGAGAAAGTAGTAAAGATATAAACAGAATTGAAGGAGAAGGAATGTGATGAAGTAGGAATGGGGGGTATAAGAAGGAGAAGGGGGACTAAGGAAAAGAGAGATAGGGAAAGGGTAAGTGAAGTGAGAGAAGAAAGGGGATTAGAAAAGGAATTGAGAAGAAAGAAACTGGAAGCGTGGAAGTGTATTCAACTATATAGAAGGATGAGAAGCAGAATAGAAGACATTTTTGAATTAATGTAGAGATTAAACAAGATATTCTGTTATACTTTTAAAAAATCTTTCTTTCTTTCTTTTAATTTTGTTTAGATAAAGAAGATGTAAGGTTGAATGGATGATATACCGGTTATATTAAGTATAGGCAATCTTTTTGAAATGGTCCCGTGAAGGTGTTTTATGCATAATTAAGATCTACGATGTTTATTGAATCATGCATAGGAGAATATGGAGTGTGATACATATATGAGTGTAAATGTTAAGTATTAAAATTTATTCAATAAAAAAAATGCACAATGCTTTCCAGATGTTTTTCCATCCACCCCTTCCCTGGATTTGTCTCCCCATCACCCTTTTTGTCTCGAAAGTTCTCCTACCAGCAATAATGTGGTCTTAAAGCCACCTCCGCCGAAAAAACAACCCACAGTCTTCAAAACCCCAAACCCAAAGTCCAATGTGCCACTGGCCCAGAATAATGCCCAGCGGTGGAAAGAGTGTTTGCTTTGATTCGGATGTTGTCCGTTTGCTTGACTTGCGCAACATTTGACTTCAATTAGTCCACTTTGGAATAAACTAATGGGCCTACTTAAGCTAATTGAAGTTGCAGAGAAATGAAGCAGCACATATAGACGCACAAACACACATACAAAACCTTCTGGGGAAATGGCAAGAGGAAGACACAACATAAAGGATGAAATTCCCAAGCCAGAAATTCATCGGATGAAATGACGGGAGAGGGACGCTTTTCCAAACGGCACATTAATAATAATAATAATAATAATAATAATAATAATAATAATAATAATAATAATAAATTTTATTTATATCCCGCCCCTCTGCTGGGCAATCGGAGCGGCAAACAAGATTAAAAAAGAACAAAGTTAAAACAATTCCATCTCACCCCCAATCCCTAACCCCCCCCATAAAAATCGAATTAAACTGTATTAGAATTAAAATACAAATTAACCAGCAGTAATTTAAAACCATTAAACAAATAAACAATGGAGGATGGGAGCAAAGGAACAATCAATCTCAAATTGGTCGGGAGAGTTATTCCGGGAGCTGTGATTCCACTTTAATTGCCGTGGTTCCATCCTATGGAATCCTGGGATTTGTAGTTTAGGGAGGGTACTTAGAATCCTGAGCCAGGGAGTTCTAGTACCTCCCCATATACTCATATACTATAAGTCGACGTCATGTATAAGTCAAGGGTCCTGGGCCAAATTTATGGATTTTGATATGATCCTTGGATAAGTCGATGGTAAAACTTAGGAGCATGTAACAAAAAATTTGTCAAGGATGATGCAAAGGAAAACAATACCAAATAAGTTTAAAAATTCAAATAGGCATAACTGTGCTCATACTAAAGGCTGGATGGATGAGAGAATAGAGGAGGTAAATGATTCCAGGACAGATTATGCCCTTGCCTTTCACCAAAGAAAGTTAAAGTACGGTACTTACATTGACCCATGAATCATAGAATCATAGAAACATAGAGTTGGAAGAGACCCCAAGGGCCATCCAGTCCAACCCCTTTCTGCCATGCAGGAACTCAAAATCAAAGCATCTCCGACAGATGGCC